CACATTCATATAACTAACGCAGATTTCTAAAAGTAAATATGTGTATGTTATACTTATCTCTCAGTACTTAATAATTTCTACCATACGCAAATATACGTGTAGACTGGCAGATGTTCCTTTCTGTGAGTCGTAAAAAAAGTCCAGTTCCTGTGTTTGTTTAAATTTTACTTTTCCCCCGACTTATGCGACGAAACTTAACGAGACCATAATGGATATTGGAATGTTTATCCTGGTGAGCTGTGGAGGGACAGAATGGAACTGCTGACACATGCAGTCAAGACTTGCTTAGGATTCAACCCGTGGCGTGGTTCTAAGCGTTGAAGATGATCAAAGTAATGTTAGGATCAGACCAAAAGATTCTGTAGATTCTCTTGTTCATGAGGTCTCTCTCATCGAATCCCTAAGCGAAATATTTTGGCTAGATTTTTCAGTCCTGCAATGCGAGCACTTTCCCTTCTTGAAATACACAACACTATAAAACGAGGGGGACTATGGAGAAACACAGATTAACAAAAATTTAAACCTAGATATGTTGCTGTTTGCAGACGATCAAATAATAAGAGATAAAATTAAAGACGAATAACAACATTGAACGCAATAAATATTTTTTTATATAACCGTCTCAAAACTTGACTTGATACTTTCTGTTGGAAAATAGAAAGTATCAAGTACCCCCGGGGGTACGTGAAATATATATATATATATTATTTTATGATAAACACTGAATAAACAGTAATGTAATTTATTTAATTTATTTTAGATGTAGATTATATACTATGTATAATTTGAATTATACACCAACAACTTTGGGGGTACAAAGTTGAAGAGATTTTATATCTGGGGGTACGCGAAGACTTCTTAGGGGGTACGTGAAATTTAAATATATATATATATTATTTTATGATAAACACTGAATAATCAGTAATGTAATTTATTTAATTTATTTTAGATGTAGATTATATACTATGTATAACTTGAATTATACACCAACAAATTTAGGGGTACAAAGTTGAAGAGAAATTATATCTGGGGGTACGCGAACAAAAAAAAATTGAATACCACTGTTCTAGAGAGATGAGAGCGTATGAGGAACAATATTTTCATAAATGACAAAGCACTAGAATCTGCAAAAGTGATATTTTGGACTATGTACGGCCTTCGTCTATACTTCAATAAAATTTCAACGTTTCAGAAGGTGCATCTTCCAGCGTCTTCAGGTTAAAGATGAAGGATTGAAATTCTATCTGTTGTAATTTTATTGAAATTTAGACGATGGACAATAAAACCACTGATTGTGTACCAATGGCGATCAAATGCTATAGGTAAATTCTACTACACTACTCAAAATGTGCCGTGCCTCCAGTTTGACCTGACTTTTCAGCAAACCTCACAGGAAAGAAAATTCTTTGGACGTTGTCGACCGAACATATTTGCAAGTACGCCGTGGTCCAGAAAATATTTGAAAAAATAAACATTTTCTGCGATTTAACCTCACAAAATGCGAGCGCTCTCTGCATGTTCGGGGAGCTTCAACGCGCAGAAACAGCTAATTCTGTCTGTTCTCGCCTATTGCCCATCCATAAGCATCCTACGTATCACCATCCGAAGAATAACCTTTAAATCAATTAAATCAATGACAGTGAGTTTGTATGGCAACACATGAACGTGGGAAAAGTTATGAACGACGCGTTAATGAATGTCGAGAAGCCACTTTGATCTTCATATTTTATATTGTTCTGGTTTGCTCCTCGATCGTGAAAGTGGCGCCTGCCCAATCTGGAGTGATTCTGACAGGATTCCTCCTCGAAGGCTGTGCACTTTTCTTTCTTTCACGAAGTTTTATAACATCGTGGCTCAGACGTCGTAACCATGTCGAATTAAAAGACTGTATCCATTTTAACTGGTTGATAAATTATTTAACAACATCGCATAATGCAGTACAGTCATATTGCTGTTTCGTACTTCAGAAGTCCTTGGTACGAGACTCGGCTGGAACACCGGATACGTTTCTCAGTTTTTTTCAGTTCTTCCTTGCGAAAAATGGGATTTATCTCACTGTCGGATTTTCTACACGGCGCTACAACCCAGAAGACAGCCATCTTCCTTTGTTTTCGTATTTCCCAAACGCTTAGGACTGGGCAACTATACAGGAATATATACAACCTCTTCAATGAATAATGTAAGTTATATTATTTATTTATTTAACAGCGTTCTATGAATCGATGAGTCATTTAACTTCCTTTACATTAGCGACTCACAAAAGACACGGTGTTATTTAGAGATATTGCATAAACCTTGGTAATTTAAAAATGATATAATTACCGCAAATTATGATAAAATTAGCATAGTACTGTCCAGAACTGGTCTGGAGAGACTGAAGTAAGCCTCGCTTAGAGAAGCTACTTTATGATGAACTTTGACCAGCGCAAACATAAGAAAACATAATGACATAGTAACTACACATAAACAAAGTTACGATCGGATGCATATGTTATTCGAATAAGGGAAAGACGATAGGCATTTTGGAATTCTGGTGGGAAATCGCTTGGGGGGGGGGAGCTGTATGGAAGACAGGTCCAATATACATCAGGTGTATTAAAATGCATCTTATGTTTATTGCTTGGCTTAGCATTGGGTTTATCTGGTTATTAAATATTGAATGGTAAATGATAAAATCGACATAGCAGTTCATAAGACGTGCAGCGTATACCAAAGTGATTCAGTGAATCTTGATATGGAAAACACGATACGAAAGCTGTTTTTTCTGCACAGTCCCAGTTGAAACCAGGGCGCTGGGATGATATTTTATGTACTCCTGTCCACAGAAGTCAATATCCTTTTAACTTATGTTTCCATATCTCTGCCAGATTTAGCCTCTCATATGTTGCTTCAGTGCTCAAAAAAAAAAAAAAAGTATTTCCGAGGCTACAAATGTAAAACTGACCACGATGTGAAAATAGCGACTGGCAAAATAGGACACTGGCTTTTATGGACACGGCTTATAAAAAAATCATCGTGGCCTGTCTCCATGGAGACTGGAGGATACCCGCACAATGACACTGTATAATCCACAGCAAAGACTCATTAAATCGCTTCTAGATAATTATATGTCTCGTAAAATTACTCTCTGACAGCAATTGGTAGAAAGATGAAAGATGGGTTGTTCCCCTTTTCATTTTACAAAGAGCGCTACTATACTTATGAGAACAAGTGCAACATTGACGATGGGAGGGGCCGAAGGGGGGTGGGGGGGTAATTGTAGTATATAATGTGCACATAAAATGAAAGGGCATGCGATAAGAGTACCGAAGTGTCCAGTTCGGGCAATTTGCCAGCATTTCTTAGATAAGTATGAGAGATGTTTGTTGCAAGAGTTTCATTCTTTCTTACTTAAAGTAAAACAAAAACACTGATATCTTAGTGCTGAGTCTCGTTGAAACACGCGCACTCTGAAAGACACAGAAACTTCTGATGGACTGGAAAAATTGAGTGTTTTAAATAGGTTGTGATACGGATTGTCGTAATAAATTATAGAAGAATTGATGCTGCACGTATTTCTGCTGATAATAACAAACAGATTACAAAATCAAACAAAAAATAGAGGCAGAATGCCAACTGAGAATACAGTTGGCGTCATCTAGTCATTTAAACTAGATGCAGGGTGCAGGAAGAGTGCAATCGAGGAAATTGGATACAAAAAGACTTTTGTGTAGAAGAAACGATCAATTCAAATTCTGAACGTCGAAACGGGCTTCAGAACACCCAATTTCTGAGAAAGAGAAATATCTTTGAATGCATGTCTAGCGAATGAAGTACAACAGACTCCCGATTATCCGAGGGCGGATTAAGTCTGACTGGTTTAAATGAAAATTAAACATTAATTTAGAAAATCCGTTGTACAAGAACGTTTAAAAACCTTGAAATAAATACAATGACATTATTTGACGTATTAACATAAATCAATAACATAAAATCAAATCAATAAAATGTTGCAATCTTTTTTGAAATAGTATATACTGTATTAAATTTTTATATAAAATCCTTCCTGTTATTAGTAAATCTTTAAAAATTTAAGTAGTGTATGTCTGTAAACAAACTTACGTATTTGTTTCATTTCTGCGGATTATCCGGGGTTTCGATTATCCAGGAAAATATTTCCCAAACAACCCGGATAATCGGGAGCCTATTTTACTAAAATAAGTCCCCAAGGAAAGTACTAACATACTAGCAACACAAACCGAACGTTCCACAGCCACAAGACACAACCCCTAGGAAGCTACGTCTAATCCACAACTTATTCGGCATGAGAATCTTGCAAACTGAAATTAAAATGGCGGTAGATACACAACGTAGCATATTTATCGAAGACAGGCTCAATGTTTATTACCTTTCACCCACTAAAGGAAGGCTTCTATGATCAGGGTTGTTTAGTCACCGTCCTGATGATGGAAGCAGTAAGCACCTATGAGACGTTGGCCAGTTTCTACAAATCTATATCGCGCACCATCCCAAAAGACATTCTTTAGGTATTTTTCTGCGAAGTACTGAAAGCAGCTTCTGATTTTATTTCCGGCCCTGAAGAGCGTTCAACAAGTTTATAATAATAATGCGGTCTTCCGGGTTGTGACACCGCGGAATCTTGCAGGCGATCATCATCGTTTAGGAGAAATCTCACAAGTTTAGAAACGCCACATTCAAACATTACGAGCATTAAGCTAACTTACAGTTATTACCTATAAATAGTAGATCTAAACTTCAAAATGCCCTCAGTAACGTCCGCGTTATAAAGTAGCCGATACAAGTATCGTCAGAATTTATCAGCTTTTCCCGGTCTCGTAAATCGTACACTTTTACATCCTTCAATTTCAGAATCATGGGAGAAATTCAGCCGTGTGCCTCGAGATGGTCTGTGAGGTGATCTCTGCTCTAACCACCGGACTATACGCGGACAATAACATACTCGCAGAACAAACCATATTGTCGACGACGCAGGATTGAACTGGTAGACTTATTTTCCTCGTAAGGCAAATCCTAATACGAGCGTCTATAAAGTATAAATTTAGTTTAAGCATGAAGACTGCTGTCTTCTGGGTTGTTGCCTCCAACATCAGGGCTGAAACTTCTGTAAACTTCTACCAGACTACACGGCTCAACAACCCAGAACACAGCAATTTTCAGACTACTTTATTTTAGTATATATTTATTTATTATTTCAGTCTATACACAAACTTAATTTTAATTTTTAAATGTTGTTGTTAAAATTAAAATTAAAATTAAAATTTAGCGCTTTTCATCGTTAAAGATGAAAATAACAATAAAAAACCTGAGGATGATGCAATAGCATCGAAACATGTCGTAAAATAATAAGCGCTGAAATGTAACATCGTAATAACGATGAAAAGCGCTAAATTTTAATTTTAACAACAACATTTAAAAATTAAAATTAAGTTTGTGTATAGACTGAAATAATAAATAAATATATACTGAATTTCAACACAAACATGACGCATCTAAACTACAAATACTTTATTTTAGTGTACCCAGTTGTCCCTAAAAAGCATTCTGTGTTTTAATATTTGATGGTTTGTTATTGGTATGGGTTCATTAAATGTTGTTATTACTATTTAGGAATTGTTATTTTATTAATCTCAAAGTAAACACTCAATACGTGCTACCTGCTATATCCCACCACTAAACTCAGTGTCTGCAGAACACTGATATAAGTTAGACTATAAAGAAACCCCCTCATCCGAAAAACTGGCATAAGGCGGCACTTGCCGGAAGATAAATCCAATCTGTTTGATACTCATACGCCTTTATATGTTGCAATCAGAACAGTTCAGGCAGCCAAATTTAAACTTTATATAAACTCTGAGATAAGACCACGAGAAATTTTCTTGGAGGTTGAGTCGTGTAGTCTGGTAGAAGTTTATCAATTTGTAGCTTAAGTGCGTCATGTTTGTGTTGAAACCAATTATATATTTATTATTCCAGTCTATACACAAACGTGTTTAAAATGTTGTTGTTAAAATTTATATAACACTATAACATCTGTAGTATAAAATATTACAATAAGTTATATTATATTATGTTATGTTATGTTACAGACATGCAGAGCATTATGAAGACAGAAATATCTACAAATATACCTATAAATCAATAAATGCATTGCATCGAAATATATAATAGTTTTAAAATGATAAAAATAACGATATAAAGCCTGAAGATGATGTCATAAAACATCGAAACATGTAGTACAATTAATAATAAGCGCCATAATAAATGTAATATCATACTACGATAAAAGCGCCATAATATAACATAATATAACTTATTGTAATATTTTATACTACAGATGTTATAGTGTTATATAAATTTTAACAACAACATTTTAAACACGTTTGTGTATAGACTGGAATAATAAATATATAATAAGTTTATCAATGTTTCACAGGTTCTTCCTACCTCCATCAACAGGGTCCTCATCACCTCTCTGATGATGGAAGGGGGGGGACAGTAAGCACCTCTGAAACGTCAGTTTACTTCTAGGAG